TGTAGATTCCAGAAATGCAGCACACGTTGTGTTGTAGAATTAAAATGTTGTATACTAATGATTATCATTAGGCGTTTGCATAAAATGTCTTTGAGCAATATTTAGCCTGAGTTTAGTGAATTCAGGGAAGACTCAAGGACAAGGTTTCTGTGATATAAGTATCATTTTCAGGAACAGCGTGTCTCTTATCGGAACAAGGCCTGAGATACAAAACTGGACTAGACCAGACCCAGACGAGGGCCTCTGTTGGTCTCACCATATGACGTCATCGGACATTTTGATAAAACTGTTGGTAGGACATTTTGTCAGCAGTCTGAGCAGGGATAGATAGACAGAGAGCATCGAAGAACACCTGGATGTTCTCTGTACATTTTCAGGCCTGGAGGGAGAGTTAAAATGGCTCAGCATAGGGTTAGTTATAGGGAATTAATAGCTCCAAGAGTTTTGTATCAATATTTAGTTGTAAAGATAATTAAATGTTGTTCTATTTTAACTCTTGTATGCTTGGTCTTATTTCTGTATAAAATTCAAACACGTCCGTCAATTTTTTTGACAATAATAATGAATGTGTTCTGTCTGAATTAAAGACACGATCCCAGACTTTGTCATCTTCTTCAGGTGGTGGAGGAATGCGGGCATTGTCTGTAACATCTACAGAACAGAAGACAATTTTTTGTGCACAAAAATGTGGGGTTTTTTAAAGACAAAGCTGAAAAACCTCAGGAGAAACATCTGGATGGGTTAGTTGGATGCATCTGGATCAGCACACTTGGACAATCTGCACAACCCCTGATTCCACTCAGGCCTGCTGTGAGCTGCTGAGACATGGACAATTCCATCGTCCTCTTTTGCATGGATATCATTTGGAACAATTTGGAACAATTGGATTTCTGAATTTGGACATAATTTGGACTGAATTGGATTGCTGAATCTGGACACTAAAGCTGAAACGTGTGATTGAAAAACATGTCACAGAAGAATTCATGGCAATGCAGCCTGAAGAAATCAACACGGAAAGTGGAAGAGACGAGAAGTGGAAGTTTGATATTTTACTGAAGATTGTTGACGAGTTTTATGAAAGATCTGAACATGTTTTATAAGTTTTCTGAGTTACTGAAGTACCGAGTTTATGAGTTTTCAAAGTATTGAGTTATGATGTTATGTTGCTGTTTATCGATCCTGATGGTCACACGTGAATGTGTGACCAGAGGGGGGAATGTAGTGATTTCATACAGTAACTGTGGTTAAAGTTCTAACTCATCATTCTAACATTTGCAGAAGCCAGTTCTTTTCCACTGCATGTTTTGGTTATCTCAAGGTTGAAGCTGCTGGCATCGCAGCGAAAGCTGATTGGAGGACTCCAATCAGCTCGTTGTTCGTGCTTGTGTTCGTGTGTCTACCATCAACAATAAAACATGTCTTCTGTCTGAATTAAAGACACGATCCCAGACTTTGTCATCTTCTCCTATTGTCTGACATTGTGTCTGCTTCTGTTTCTGCATCAGCCGTCTTCTACAAGAAAGGAAAAAAACTTCTGGGCGGCCACTATTGGCACAGATGTTTTCCTTACGATGGCACAGCAAAAAAATATTTAATTTTGTTCTTTAATTTTGTTTTTTTCTATTTCATACATAACCGCATTGCAGCAAAAAGCAATACATTACAGTGATTACATGAATTTTGTGACGCGTTACTCCTATCACTGCATGTGGCACAGTGACTGAGTAGAGCTCATCCTTCAGCAAGAAGGTTGTGGGTTTGATCCTGTGTTGACCCCGGCCTTTCCATGTGGAGTTTGCAAGTTGCATTGCATGTGTCTGGGTGGGTTTTCTCCTGGTGCTCCGGTTGCCGTCACCATCCAAAACTGTATGAATATGGTGAGTAATGGTGGTGGTGGCCATCTGCCTTAAAGAGAATTGATCAAGCTTGCACATGACATGAAACAAATATTTTAATTAAAGCAGACACTTCATGCTATCACAATAAAAAAATACCAGTGATGATTTTCCATGAGTAATAAAAAATGCATATGTTGACAGTGGTTCAAAGCAGTGACAGTAGTATTTGTCTTACCTGGTGAGGGTCAGGCCCCGGGGCCATGTGGAGGTGAGCTGAGGTGCAGACAGAGGCCCCGCTCTGAGGCCCCAGTTCCTCTACAAAGAGCACAACCTGATCCGTCTGAAGTGGCTCCTGTGTTCTCAGCGAGCCCCACTTTAAAGAGGGCTCAGGTGAATGATGCATGGAGGGGGGTCCACACTGTCATCAGGTGCTGATCTCACTGCAAATTAAAGTCAGTATTTTTCTCTTTGAGGTATGTTACCATAATCATTCATTTAAATTAGAGATCATTATCCTTAATCAAAACAATATTTTTGTTTCTTTTTTAAACAATGTACGTGTGACTTTCTGGAGGCTGTGTTAAAATGAATGTCACTTACTTTGCAAATAGGAGAGAGAGTATTTCCTAAAGCAAGTCCCATGGAAAGCTTCCATGCTCCTATAACCCTGACTTAAGTTTATGAGACCCGTTGATGTGTTCCTGACTGTGTTATAGTGTAACTCGTTACTTTGAAAATACTAATTGGATTAGACCAAATATAGTTACTTGCAACAGCAGTAATGATTGGTATTACATTAAATGTGACAAAATGTATGAATTTTTCTATATTGTTAAATATCTTTAATAACGCATTAAGGCACATATGATTCATTCAGATCGTGACAAAAGTCAACATGGCTCAAACCAAGAAAATATGTTCAAATAATTCCACACACATTGATGGATTTATCACCTTTTACTACATGTCAACGCTGTGGGATTTTCTTCACCTTCTCCTCCACCAGTCTCCACCAGTCTCCACCAGTCTTCATCAGGGTCCACAGTCTCCTCCAGTCCACCTCTGACTCCATCAAACAGCCAACCGTCGCGGCCAAGGTTTCTCAAATGTGGAAACCCTTCAAATTGACAATAAAACCCTTTTTAACCCCCTGTAATGATCTGAACTATCTATAATACATTTTACATGTTGCAGACATTCGTTTCCATAAAGTAAGTGTTTGAAAATTTGGAGATGGAGAGAGCATCATAGAACTAACTCTGAAAGCTTTCTTTAATAAAACATAATTCATTTACATTGTTGGACATTGTTGTCATTCCTGGACCAATAGCTCTGTGTTTGTTAACATTGTCTTTGCTGTGTTCGAACTGTTTGATTCTCTGATCTGTTGTTGGTGAATTGTCAAATTTGTGAAGTTCTCCGAGACGACTGCTGTGATTTAGGGCTAGACAAGAATAAATTGAATTGAATTAAAATATATCAGACAAGTTTGTCAAGATGTTGTTCAATTCAAGAGCTCAATGGATGATTAGTTGTAATAGATTTGAAAAGTAATTATCCATCCTCGATTTACGTACAGTTTGTATGTTTTTCTTCAGAAATTATATAATGTCCCATTGCCTAGGTCTAATTATAGGAATTATTGTCAAAAATAAATGATTTAGATTTAGTAATGTCATGAATAACTCAAGTATACCATGCCCCACATGTTCCACTGCTCCATGTCCAGACCATGAGTCTGTCATTTCAACTCTAAAAAGTGTTACAAAATGGTTGTGTTTCCTGGGGTGTTCATGAGTGTGGTTGTGTGTCAGACAAATATCGCATCATAGTGTGATTATATCAACATTTATGCAAAAAATAAGCATTTTCAACAAGAATTTGCTAGAATAACAGAAATAAATAATAATGTGTACATAAAAGGGCCGTAAAAATACAAGAAATGTAACGGACAAAGACGTGTCTCAAATATAATATATGTTTTTGGGTCTTTAACATTACTGATCTTTTCCTTTACCATACGTTACGAAAGCTTCTAGTTTTCTTCACCTCAAATAAGACTTCAAATAAAATCCTTCCATAATGACGTCAAATAAACAAAGGAAATAGCGAGTGCATAATTTCTGCAGCTTTCAAAAAAGATTTAGGCTGAGTGATAATGCATTATTTTTATCTCTATATGTTATTGGGATGAAATGGCATTTCTTTAGCACATGACCCTTAGTGGCTCTGAATCTACATTCTAATAGAAGGCGCTTCTTCCGTTGAAATGTAACCGAAATTCTTACCAACAAAGTTTTTGTCGAAATAAAATCCGGAACACATTTTTTGGTTTTGTAAATCAGACTCCGTTTTTATAGCTCACTCATTCTATGTCTTTTTTTTTTTTCAATTACAATTAATTTTGATAATACCGTCTTTTCCTCATAAGAACACGTCAGGGAAAATGTGAGTCATTTAGACCCACGGAGTTTGGGACAGGGTGAACAGAAATATAATAATGACACCTACTCCTCACATCAGGTCTGTTTCTTCCCGAACACGAGGCTTCGGCCTGAACTCTGAGTAAAACAGACTATTTTCAATCAAGTCGCGCAGCATCAGAGACACGCCTCCGAGAGTCAGAGCCTTATTAAATGCAGGGTAAATAAAATATGTTTGACATAAAGCTTTGAATCAGGGCTTAAAAGGTTCAACCTATAACAATCTTCAAACACATGTATCTCATAGTTCACACGCGCATTTGTGAGACAGGAAAGTGCAGCAGGCCTCGGGCCTGCGGAGAGCGCACCAGCTCTTTGGATCTGCGCGGAGCCACAGGACGAAGAGTAAAATGCTCTGCCCTGTCCCGGTGCCATTTCACCCGTTTGGAGCTCTCTTGTGTGAGTTCGTTGTCTTTCCCGCTGTTTTATTTACGCCCCGTCATGTTTTGTTCTATACAAAAGTGCATGAGATTCTGCAGCCGTAAGTCTGCAGATTCTTCTCTTTGCTCCTGATTGCAGTTTCACTCCTGTCAGAGCTCAGCGCTTATATGTGTTTGAGTTTAGTATTTAGGCCTACACTGTATCTGTTTCTCTTATGGCTCCAATAGTTCAGACTCATCCAGGCCTCATGTTGGTCTCAAGTCTTTCGTTTATGTCACTCTACAGGCCCACACGATTCTCACAGCATCAGTTCAGACTTGTCCAGGCCTCCTGGGGGCGCGCACATAGCTGCAGGCGGGAGCGCACTGAGCGCAGGCATGTGCCCAAGTGTAGGCGTGGCTTTGATTGGCACGGGCACCGCGGGCATCGAGGGGGCGCACGGGGGGTACAGACTTTTGGAGACGCTGAATGGCGCGTAGTCTGCACTGGGAACGTGTTCAGACAACACGTGCGGCCACATAGAGTTGACCATACTGCTGATGTGCGCAGGAACGTGCGCGTGCACAGGGTAACCCAGATGATGCATGACACTGAGCGGAAGCGCACCTTTATACTCGCGGCCAATCAGGTTCTCGATGGCGAACGGGTGTCTGAAGGCCGCGGGCTGATAGCTCTGAAAACGCGTGCCCGCAACACCCTGCGCGTGCTCGTGCTGACTCGGGGATTTGGTGCTCGCATGCTGCTGGTGGAAGTAGTGCATCATGGGTGCGCTCTTACAGGACACATGCTCCGCGCGCAGCACTTTGAAGCGTTTGCGCCTGCGCAGAAAGCTGCCGTTCTCAAACATGTCTCCGCAATCCGGGTGTAGCGCCCAGAAGCTGCCTTTCCCGGGCTGATCCGGTCTGCGCGGGATCTTTATGAAGCAGTCATTAAACGACAAATTGTGACGAAGAGAGTTCTGCCAGCGCTGCGTGTTCTCACGATAGTACGGGAAGCGCTCCATGATGAACTTGTAGATGTCGCTGAGCGGCAGCATCTTCTCTGTAGAGTTCTGGATGGCCATGGCCGTGAGGGATATGTACGAGTACGGAGGCTTCTGGTCGCTGTATGAGCTCTTCCCGGGCCGCGGCATGCTGCTGTGCGCGTGCAAGTGCCTCAAACTGTCTCGAACTCCAGAGGTTTAGGCCATCAGCAGAATGACCAGCGCGCACGGCCTACCCAAAGTCTGTGCGTACGAGTCCGTGCGTAAAGTTGATGACCTCCTTGGCGCGGCTCCTTTCCGTGGTTGGTTGGTTTCTCTGGTTCTCTGTGGCTGGTGTCTCTGGTTCTCTGTGGCTGGTGTCTCTAGTTCACTGTGGCTGGTGTCTCTAGTTATCTGTGGCTGGTGTCTCTGGTTCTCTGTGGCTGGTGTCGCTGGTTCTCTATGGATGGTGCTTCTGTAGTTCTCTCTGGCTGTCTTGGAAGATGTTTCTCCAGCTGCAGTGAGGATATATTGTCGGAGCTCCTCTCGGATCTGACGTGACGCTCTGTGCGTCAGTGCAGTGAGGAGACCCGCGGGTGTCCGCCTCTGATATGAGAGGGGCTGAGGGAGCGCGCGTGTGGAGGAGAGAGAGTCAGAGAGAGAGAAGGGAGGGTGGCGCGTGCCTCACCAACATCTGACGTCTAATTGAGCACGTGCCAATCCACGTCCATTCTGACTCCTGCAAGACCTTTGACCTCTTGTCCAAACGAGTAACGACATGAGTGAGTGATGACACAAGTCCAACTTCCTCATTCTGAACTTCTGCATGGAATGCGTCAAAACAACTTCATGCATTAAAATAGCTTGTGTCGTAATAACTCAAACGTATACAACGTTAGTCAATGAAACTACAAATATGCTTACATTAAATAATCTCAACTGTTTTATTTCGAACCCCTTTTTATCTCGTTCACATTCGTGTTTTCTCTTTTGTTCCCTGGAGCTCCGCTGAACGTCTTGTTTGCGTCAGTCACGTGAGACCACTTCGGAACAAGTTGCTTATTTTACTTGAAACAACAACAGAACAACACAAAACAAACGAGTTTTAAGTGAAATCTGCCTGATTGCACTTTCACACTTTGCCAACAATAAATCATGTGTGTTCCATTCCGCACGCTCCAGCTTGCGTGCGTGCGTGTGTTTGTGTGCGTGTGTCTGTGTTTGTGCGCGATGGTGATTAATTGCTGGGAGGGGAGTCCGTCTTGTGTCTCGTGTCTGCTCCAGAGCGCTCTGAGGTGCGCCGCTGCGTGGAGTCTGGTATAAACAAACTTTTACGCACAACAAAAGCGCGCGCTGCCTCCTCGTTTATCTCCGTCCAGGTGTCATGGTAACTGCCCCCCCCCCCCCCCCCCCCCTTCCTCCCGCGCGCCCAGTGCCCCTTCGGATCGCGAGAATACATTACAATAATTAAGCCTTCCGTGATTTAGGCTCCTGCGAGAGAAGTCCAGTGCTGTAATTAAGGATGGCGCGTTATTAAGCGATGAATATTCAAAACTGTGTCAATTAATTAGGCCTCCGCGAATCTCTCAGTCCTTCACGCGCACCCAGAGGTCAGCTGTCAACGGGAGAGCGCTTTGCACGAATTAAGGAGGAAAAGACTTGATGAACAAAGTGCTCTTGTGTGAAGCAGCCGCAGCGCGCATATATTACGCACGGGTTTACCTGTCTGAATCTAATCACATGGGACAGTCTAAGCGTATGTTTACATTTAATAATAAATAAGTAATTACTTTCATTTTATTATTAAAAAAAATTATTGTACGAACTCGTTCTGTAATAAAATATTAATTATAATATCGATACTCAATCAAAAATAAAATAATAACGTTATATGTAATAATCGATGGATACTTGATTGATTGTATTCCTCCGTGCAAATCCCCTGAATAAAGGCGATTTATAATATGGACATGTGTTTTTGCAAAAACAGAATACTATATTGTGATAGTCTATTCGCGTTTAAATGCACACGAGAGCTCACCACTCAAGTCGTATTATAATATTAAACAAAACTTGACACTTTTAGACTTTCAGACCATGTTATTGTTTTGTTTCGGTTTCAGCGCGTGCCAAGCTCCCTGCATCTCCGAACCCTTATAATAAAGCGTGTGTGTTTATGTCTGTGTGTGTTTGTGAGATCGGACGATGCCCCTGAGCCATTTGGATGAAGGCTCTTGTCTGAAAGCGCGGGAAAGATCAATATTAAATCTGTTTTCGCAAAGGGGGCCGTTAAACAGACACCGCGCGCTCATCTGCATAACATAATTAATTAGGCTGCGGCGCGTGCCTGTGCGCAACTCCTGGACAAATAACTAGTTGTGTAAAGCGCACCTTCTGGGCATACGGAGCATATGCTGGAATTAGCCTTAATTGACTAATTACATAAATTACTCATTAACTTTACAGCGCATCAATTATAAGAGATGTATCAATTAATTTTGCATAAATTACAGGCGGGAGTGCGCAGGAGCAGGGGGTCTGGGCCTGGGGTGTGCGTGCGTGTGCGTGCGTTTGTGTGTGTGTCATGCGTGCGTGTCGTCTGTCTCGTATAATTATTTGCCGAGCTTAAGGGCACGTGTCTCAAAGTGCGGGGCTAATGACAATTACACTAATAATAATAATACTAATCTTAAGGAGGCTCTCTAGCTCATAAGCGGCGCGCGAAGCCATTTGAATCAATTAGCAGCGCGTTGTTTTCTAAGGAGGAATATTATGGGATGGCACGACGTGTCAGCGTGGCAGCGCAGTGATACGTGTTTTATGTCCTGGACGGTCTGGACCTTTGCCTGCAGCCTGTTGAAGCGCTGAGGGACAAACATGCAAAGATGTTACAAACTATCACTTAGAAATATGATTGATGGACGTGTGTTTTGAGGCTAAATACAGAAAGTATGATTACTCAATTATAAAACAATATTACAAGTTTTCTTTCTTTCTCTCTTTCTTTCTCTGCTCTGCTATATCGGCAATGTTCTTTTTGGAGCCCAACAATCTCTTTACCCACTTAGTTTTGAAGGCCGCAACTCCATGCATTGTCTGGGGAAAGATAGGGATGTATAGCCTTAACCCCAGGTCAAGAGCAGATATGTTGGGCCTTGGTGATGACTGGAATCCCATGACTGGCAGATTTGTACTGCTCATAGAAGTGTGCAGAAAAGTCGTGCATTCCCGTCCAGTTGACGATACAAACAGAATCTTGCAGCACCCGCATATTCTTTCACTGTCCATTCAACCAACATGAGGGCACAATGAGGGTCCTGCTCTCTTTTACTAAACTAATCCTGGTGTGTCCTTTCCAGGTGTTGGCCCCGCAGGTTCTTCTCTACAGGCGGTCCCTGCATCCACCCCTCATTCTGTAAAGCTATGTGGATCTTGGAGACCGCTGCATTGGACCGTTGCTAAAAACAGACTACTGCACATGGTCCTACTTATGTGTGGCCACAAGTTACCAGAGGTGCACTGTGGGCCTTGTGAACTTTGTCTTGGGCTATGTCTGGCTCAGTACGTGGAACGGGGTGGATTAAGGAGACTGATGGGGCGAAAATTAATGTTGGTAATTAACGAAGGTTCATCTTGTCGTCTTAGTAGAAATAAAGCTATTTGATTCTTCTATAGTCAAAACATGTCAAAAAACATTGCTAACTTACTATTGTCTGTAGAAGAAGCAAATACCTTTAGTTAACGTTGAGTTTTGACAGGAGATGGAGGACTTTGTTGCAGGACAGACATTGAGAAGGGTTCTGTGTTCAGGGGTGAAGGAAGTTAGTATGCGCCTTTTCCCTTTTAATGTTTTATGATCATGTTTGGTAAAGATTGTGATTTTTTTACCATATAATATCAATGTGTTTCTTCTTTTTTTTTTTTTAAGAAAAAGATATGGAATGTAGTAGATATAGATCTCTTACTTTTTAGTTGTTACAATTAGGGTTGGATTCTGTTTTTCCTCTGAGAAAGCTGATTGTGAATCCCAAACTTTGTGACATAAAATAGTGAGAGGCACACTGTGCTCATCTACATCTGCTATTGTTTGAAGTGTGATATAACCAAATTAGACGCTCATTGAAACCACCTCCCATGTTTTTTTTGTTATAATTCTTTCAAATGTTTTCAATACACACACACACACACACACGCACACACAAAAACACACAGGTCCAAGCATACATATAATGTGAAAATAGTGATATACACTGTAGCCTCTTGAGTTGTGAGATGAATAAAGTTTAGCTTGTATATTACAGTAGTTTTGTGGATGTGTGCTGTGGTCAATGTCAATAAAAGTCATGATTTCATGATCTCATAATTTTGGAAGCCAGAGAACCCTGTTAAGTCCAAGCCGAGTGAAGTCATTCAGAAGAAGGACCAGTAGAGAGCAGGGAGGATTCTCACCACTTTTGGTCTTTGAGGGCCCAAAGGTAATGAAACATGCTTTGCTCTTACATGGTCATTAGTCCGTCATTCCAAGGTGCTCTTTGGATTTGTTGTATTTTTCATTATGAGATACAAAAGTAACTATCAGTGAAGCAGGCTTTGCTAAAATCAAAGCAAAACCATCAGAGAAATGGCAAATACAAATTTAAGGGACAGAATGCAATATTTAAATTTTAAATTGCATCTACAGCTTTTATGTATCCTCAGAAAACATGTTCAAATATGAGACACACAACATTTTGCAAGTAGTTCTGTGCATATAATACATCTGTAAATACCTGCAATTATAGCTACAGAGTTTTATTTTTATTTCATTCTGACTATACTTGTATTACTTATATTATTTGTAATTCTATTATCTATTGTCTTAAATAATAGACCCTGTTTCCTTCTTTCTCTGCTGTGATGTTCGCAACGATGACATGGAAATTTCTGTGCGACGAATAAAGGAATATCTTATCTTGTCTTATACACATGTTTGTACCGTTAGCTAAAGTCCAGCAGATGGATTGCATCTGTAATCTGTGTTTAGAAGCTGCATGTGTCACATCACGAGCAGTATACGATAAGACAAGAGATATTTTATTCGTTTCGTCCCACAGTGGGGAAATTTCAATGTTGCAGCGCACATTCTGGCAACAAAAGTATATAGAGCCAATAAAGTTGGTCTTGGCTGAAACATGGTAATAGGCTCTCGCTCCTCTGGTGGAAGAAAACTGAATCAAACCCAGAACATGCAGTGAAAAAGGGACGATGAAAAACGTCTTTAAATCGTGCATTTAAAATGTCACTGATCTGCACACATGGGTCTTAGAAAGCGAATTGTGGTGTTTCCTGTGTCTGAAAGTCATATGGATCAATTTTAGTTTGCCACAATGTTTTTGCTCCCAGCTGAATCAGATGATTGTCTCTCAGTTTCCGTGCATTCCAAGCATTTGCATGTTTTACATGTTTTGGAAGTGACTAACTATATTTGAGTTATTTACTCACTGGAACCAATGGTTTCTGATCCATTCTGTGTTAAGTGCAGTGTGTTTATTACAGACTAAATGCAAACAGTGACTCTATAAACAACGGATATTTTTGCACTCTAAACCTTTGCTCATAAATAAATCAGAATGATTAAGAAGTAAAGGCATTGATTTTATTTTATTTCCGGCGTCATGAAGACATTCTAATGGTTTCCCTGCAGCTTCAGCAGAAAGTGAAGGATTTGGAAGGAGTAAACATGAGATCCTAGTATTTTTTTTTCTTCTGTGTGCCTTGTAATGTCTCATAGCATACAGTCAGGTCCATCAATACTAGAACATCAACACAGTTCTCATATTTCGGAGTCTAAACTCCACTGCAATAGTATGGACATGAAACACTTAAACAAGCTGAATGTGCTTTGACTGCAGTGTCATCTTTCAATTGGTCTCTTTGCTTTTGCAGCTCACATGTTTACATATTGTGTGTGTCCAGTTAATGTGGCCACACCTAGTCTTTGTCATCTCTGGTGAGTTTGTTTTGATAGTACAGGTCTTTGGGTTTATTATTGAAAACTAACAGGAACAGATGCAACCGTAGACCTTCTCTCTGCTCTTTGTTCATGGATATTCAGGGGATAACACAGCTGAGCAACAAAGCACACATAAACACGTTTGTGGATCTTGCACCGTTCACTTGATTTGCGTGTAAATACCCACAAATTGAATCAGTTACATCTGGAAATCACACTATATTAGTTTTTTGTAGCAAAATTGTAAATCGTGTGATGTCACAATATGTATGGACCGTTTGCACCTGTATGGTTCTCCTCCCTCAACCACTCATCGTCATAAAATCACAATTCATCAACAGTAAACATGGGCTATTATTCCTGATGATAGTGTGTGTAGAAGCACAGGATAATCATCTTGACCACTACATCACGTGCAATATCATACAATCCACGGGGTGCACACACGCAGACGGGCGTCTGTGGAGCCCTGTGCAGTGTGGGTGCAGCCGATATTATTATAGATCCATGGGGTGCAGACTGCAGAGGATCGCGGAGCTGTCCATGGTGCTTAATGGAAGCAGCGCGTGCACGTGCTGATTGGCGAACGTGAGAAGTGCTGTGAATCCAACGTGAGGCGGAAGTGAAGCTGTGTGGCGGGAGCAGGGCTCTCTGATCTTTACCGCAGGGAAAAGGCGCGTGTCGTCTTCTCCCGCCACACCCACGGCACGCGCTGCTGAGGCTCCATCAGAGTGTCCGGTGTATCTAGAGTGTGTGTGCGCGTTTGTGTGTTCGTGTGCGTGGGTGTCCAGTGCAGTGGGCGGTGTGTGGCTGCAGCAGCGGGAGGAGGAGGAAGAGCAGCTCGCCGCACTGATGTGAGGCGAACAGCGGGGCAGCAGCGGAGAGAGAGAGACGCACGCACGCACTCACGCACGCGGCTCCACACGTACGTACGCTGGTGAAACTTGTATGGGGAAAACTGCGACAGCGCCATCGCGACGCAGGCCGAGATGGAAGCGTTTGTGCGGGGCGTCCAGAGCAGACTCACGGTGAGTGTTTGCTGCAGCGTGTAACAGTGTCCGCACACATGTGTTCACGGTGTGACGGTGACTCGTGAGGAGGAGACGTGACTGAAAACGCCTCGCAGAACGGTCCGCGGTCCCCAGCACCTGTAGCTCGGTCGCCCGCAGGCTGCAGCTCTGGCTCTGGTCTGCGGACTCTGCTGTGTTGTGCCCCTCGTGTGCTTCTGCAAATACGTGCAGGTTTGATCCACTGCGTCTGAGTGGAGCCTTGTAAACCAGCGGTGTCTGCTCCACCTGCTGATGTGAACACACGCATTTAGTGTGAAAAATTAGACACAAGCTCCACAAACACAGTGACATAATGCCCTGTGAAGACTGCTCCATTCATTGGGTTCAGCTTCCTGCTATTAACAACATTTGCAGGACTTTTCCCCCATTTAAAAGATAGAATATTGTGATTCATTACGGGAACGTGTCTGATTTCTCATCATTCTCTCCATAGAGCTCCATGGTACTCCAGTGTTGTGATGTAGGAGCTTTTAGTTCATGTTCATGTTATTATGACATGGTTCAGGCCTCTGTTATGACGACACGGAAACAATCGACCATACTCCTCAGAGAAGAGTTTGTTAAAGCCTGATAACGCGAACCCTACGTGTAGAACCCTATAAATGAACTACATAAATGCATTTTAGATTTTGAAAATCATGAAAATATGTGTTCTCCAAACCTGTCTCAGTATTCCTTTTATAGTAAGTAACAACCTAAGGATTTTCTCTGGTAAATGGTGCAAACAATGAATGAAGTAGTCAAAAATAGATTTGAAAATAGACGCATAGTCCTGCATATATGTTCTGCTTGGCATCAAACATATTTCCATGGAGAAAGAGCTAAATGTTTTACTGTTTCTCTGGAATAGTGCAGGTGACGCTTGAAGTCTAAAAGAGTATTAATGTGGCTATTTATTGCTGTCCTGAAGATATAGGGTTGGTACGTTCATTTTCTTCCACTTTATTCAGTGCCTGGTTGTGGAGGCAGCAGTCAGAGATGACCTCCCAAATATCCAGCTCATCTGGGGGAATTGCTTTCAGGCCTCTGGATTCTTAGAGACACCACTTGAGAAAAGAGCTCTCCATTATTTAAAGAAGGAAAGACACTTTTCTTTGATCCTAATGTTTCATCCCAGCCATTTTACATCTTGAAACCTGTGACAGTCTGTGAAAATTGAATACATTTCTGATCTAAATTAAGTTTTTTTTTATTAGTTATTAGAATTGTGCCTATCAGCTGGCCTGAGAACAGAGTTTGTACCCGAAACCTAGAAGTCACATTTACAGCATTCTACATATTACTGTATATCTCAAAGTGTGTGTTGACTGATTGTAAGTTCGTTGGCCAGGTAAAGTGCGTTTTTAATATTGGTTTTTTTACTTTCATGTGTATACGCTAATTCATACCAGCGAACACAATCTTGGGGCTGGCCACATGTCTAAACAATGTCTAAACTCTTCATGAGATGCACTTGTCATGAGCCGATGAGGGCGGTGTGGTGTGTCATTGATGATAAGCTACATGTCGATGAGAGCTGCTGCAGAGTGAGATAAAGTCCCACACGTGTCACAGAGAAGAGAAACATGGAGAGAAAAACAGCTGCGGTGGCTGATTTTAAAAGAACATATTTTTTGCAAAGCTTTCTTTGAACCATGCTACATGGTTCCCCTATTTAAAATACTTTTTTCTTCATCCTCACTAATAGTAAAACTTCCCCACATTTAACTCGATCGGGAAACTGGTACAGTGCCTTGTGAAAGTATTCGGCCCCCTTGAACCTTTCAACATTTCGCCACATTTCAGGCTTCAAACATAAAGATATAAAAATATTTTTTTTTGTCAAAAATAAACAAGTGGGACACAATCGTAAAGTGGAACGAAATTTATTGGATAATTTAAACTTTTTTAACAAATAAAAAACTGAAAAGTGGGGCGTGCAATATTATTCGCCGCCCTTACGCTAATACTTTGTACTGTAGCGCCACCTTTTGCTGCAATTACAGCTGCAAGTCGCTTGGGGTATGTCTCTATCAGTTTTGCACATCGAGAGACTGGAATTCTTGCCCATTCTTCCTTGCAAAACAGCTCGAGCTCAGTGAGGTTGGATGGAGAGCGTTTGTGAACAGCAGTCTTCAGCTTCCACAGATTCTCGATTGGATTCAGGTCTGGACTTTGACTTGGCCATTCTAACACCTGGATACGTCTATTTGTGAACCATTCCATTGTAGATTTGGCTTTATGTTTTGGATCATTGTCCTGTTGGAAGATAAATCTCCGTCCCAGTCTCAGGTCTTTTGCAGACTCCATCAGGTTTTCTTCCAGAATGGTCCTGTATTTGGCTCCATCCATCTTCCCATCAATTTTAGCCATCTTCCCTGTCCCTGCTGAAGAAAAGCAGGCCCAAACCATGATGCTGCCACCACCATGTTTGACAGTGGGGATGGTGTGTTCAGGTTGATGAGCTGTGTTGCTTTTACGCCAAACATAGGGTTTTGCATTGTGGCCAAAAAGTTCGATTTTGGTTTCATCTGACCAGAGCACCTTCTTCGACATGTTTGGTGTGTCTCCCAGGTGGCTTGCGGCAGACTTTAAACAAGACTTTTTATGGATATCTTTGAGAAATGGCTTTCTTCTTGCCGCTCTTCCATAAAGGCCAGATTTGTGCAGTGCACGACTGATTGTTGTCCTATGGACAGACTCTCCCACCTCAGCTGTAGTTATCTGCAGTTCATCCAGAGTGATCATGGGCCTCTTGACTGCATCTCTGATCAGTCTTCTCCTTGTTTGAGATGAAAGTTTGGAGGGACGGCCAGGTCTTGGTAGATTCGCAGTGGTCTGATACTCCTTCCATTTCAATATAATTGTTTGCACAGTGCTCCTTGAAATGTTTAAAGCTTGGGAAATCTTTTTGTATCCAAATCCGGCTTTAAACTTCTCCAACAGTATCTCGGACCTGCCTGATGTGTTTCTTTGTCTTCATGGTTCTCTCTGCGCTTTAAACAGAACCCTGAGACTATCAAAGAGCAGGTGCATTTATACGGAGACTTGATTACACACAGGTGCATTCTATTTATCATCATCAGTCATTTAGGACAACATTGGATCATTCAAAGATCCTCACTGAACTTCTGGAGTGAGTTTGCCTCACTGAAAGTAAAGGGGCCGAATAATATTGCACGCCCCAATTTTCTGTTTTTTATTTGTTAAAAAAGTTTAAATTATCCAATAAATTTCGTTCCACTTCACGATTGTGTCCCACTTGTTGTTGATTCTTGTCAAAAAATAATTTTATATCTTTGTTTGAAGCCTGAAATGTGGCGAAAGGTTCAAGGGGGCCGAATACTTTCACAAGGCACTGTATTTTCAACCTTTTATACAAATTTATCATTTCAGGATTATTTCTGAGCTTTTCAGTAGTCACATTGCAAGAGATGAAGAAATGTCTTTAGCTTTAATGCGACTCAGGCCTCTTTCAGGAGCAGTGGTCACATGTTGCATGTTATTGATTGATGGAGGAAACTGTAGCGCCCAGAGGAACCCAACCAGTTATGGAGCAAAAAATGCAAAGTTCATGCAGAAAGGCTCGATCTCGAACATTAACTTGAAATATTGTCTGTGTGTAATAAATATCTTCCATTAAAAAACAGTCCCTGCAAGAATTCTCAAAAATAAGATATTATCCTCTTCTACTGGAACTAATTCAAGGCAGAAATTCTTCACATTTGAGTTCAGTCGATTGCCTTGCACCATTTTCCAGATGATTGTTGAATGGGCTCAATTCTTTGAGAAACAGTATTAGAACTGGTCTGAAAGAATAATATCTGACAAAATCATTGTGGCTCAAGCTTTATGAACAAACAATTGACATCTGCAACTTGAGAGTGCTTCTTTGCACTTTTCACAACTGCAAAACTAAGACACGGCCGTCTGCCTTAAGTAAAAGACTGAACAAGGACAGCACTGATCAAAGATGAAGTTGAGAAGTTAAGAGGCCCATGGTAACTCTGGAGCTGCAGATCTCCGCAGCTCACCTGGAGGAATCTGTTCCTTTGGGCAAATCTTAGTCATGCGCTACACAAATCAGGCCGTTATGGACGAGTGGCAATTATAAAGCCAGTGTTGAACTAAAACCATTAGAAGCCAAGGAAACATTCAACATGTGTCATTGGCTTCAATGTTTGTTCAATGTTGGTCTCATCTGACCACTGTGGTCAGATGAGACCAACATTGACAACAATGACAATACTTACAAAACTCTCTGTGTGGTGGAAAAATAACACTGCTCATCACACTAACCACACCATCCCCACTCTCAAACCTGGTGGTGGCAGCATTATGCTCTGGGGCTGGTTCTCTTCAGCTGATACAGGTCTGAATGTTTTGTATAAAAGGCTCGTAAATGTGTTTGTGCCGAATACTAAGGTAAATGTTCTGGGTTGATATGATGATGGTTAAAAGAGTATTCCCTCGTTTCACTAAAGTACGGCATTGCGTTTTTATGCAGCAGTTGCTCTGGTAGAGCATGTGTCCTTGTAAACCAAAAGTCTCCTTGTTTGTGCCTTGAGAGGTCGATTACACCAATAGATTGATTTAGCATTGTAAGTTTTGGTTTAAATTTGGCTAATTTATCAGATGTTCCTGGAATCCTTGTTGGGCGACAATCAGTGAGAAACTGTTCCATCACAGATCATCCTGGCAGAAAACCCCAGTCATGTGTCGGCTGCGTTCCATCCTCGTGTCTTCTCGTCCGTGGCCCTAGTCCAGAACATCCATAGCTGTAATTGGCCCTGGCTCAGTGTGGCTTTCCCCCCGTTTGGCCCTGACTATAGGATGTGCTGAGTGAGCGCGTCTCTGCACACTTCCATTAGCTCAGAGTGGTGTCCATAGGCCGATGGATGATGGCCAGACACAATGTGAGGAGCTTTGATACAATGATTGTGTAATACAGAGGGGATGTGGCAGTTCTAGGACAGCAG